AGCTCAGGTTTTTTTTAAAAACGCTCAGACCCGTTGATTTTGTTTTCGAGGAGGACACAAGTTTGTCTTGTTTCAACCGACATTAGCTTTATTATTACTCTTTCTGAGAAGGGAAGTTCCAACTTTCACGGTACCCTGTATATTCGGGCACAGAATTGAACATCACCCGTCTATAAAAAAGCGAATACGCTCTATACCGCTAGCTTCCAGCTGTTCGTATTGCGTTACTGATATTTTTGACATGTAAGCACTATTGTGCATGTATCATTTTTCATTTTCGTTTTGCATTCGCAGCTTTTACAGCGTTTTGGATTTCCACGCTCGCCGGGAAAGGTGATTAATGGCGGATTCCCCGCAGCGGGACGATATATAAATTATCACTTTGCACGGCTGTATCGATATATTTCCGAATAATATTCGCGTTTCATTTGTTTGCTTACGGCTAACAGGCTAGATGGAAAAAGGAACGACAGCGCCGTTTAAAACAAAAATCGATCAACGGCAAACACAAACTGTTTACATGGAACTGAACGTGAATCGCGAGTAATAACTTCAATATTTGATATATACGGGTATCAGTAGCGTAGTTTAGGGGTGGGGAGTGTTCTCACGAGAAATCGGAATACTAAGGGGGCATCGTATGATGCTTGGTCTGGCCAAAACATGATACGGTCATTAGCATGACAAACTGAATCAATTTGGAAAGGCAGTTATCAATATAGCTCCGAGTATTCAAAGCTTCACCTCTCACTCTTCCCACAAAAGATTGGGATACACCCCTGTTAGAAATTGCGCACCAGACAAGGATTTTATCAGCAAATTTCGCTTTATGTTTGTATCCAACATTGTCAGAGCAGTTCGTTAAAATTAAGGCCTTTAGGATATACGTTTTCCGTCCTACATTACCTTGCTCTTACTTTTTTGTATCGCAGGTCGAGCAAGACTGTCCCATTTTAAAACTTTCTAAACTATATAATACTTATAGCTTGTACCCACCACCTGGAGATCCAATCGATTCCTTTTCACTTGGAATATGGTCAATGGATCCGATAGATTTTAACTAGCTCGTTCCATTTTACGACTACGATATCACCCGTTACCTTTTATTCAATTTTCAAGTTTATGACACTCTATATTCCCCCAGCGATTATGTTTTAGTAGCCGTGACGTACTATGAAAAAATTGTATGAATTACAGGCAGGCTTAATACCCGTTTTACAGTCAGCAAGATGAGAGAGAAACTTTGATTGGAGTCATGCTCACTAACAAAACAACTAATTATTTCTGTCATTTTCTTTCAAGTAGATAGTCTAAGCGGTTTCGGTCGCACTAGTTTTTAAATCCGCCGCTAGATGGCGCTGCACAAACCAAACGAAATCTAAGTGTCATTGATGAGTTGGAGGGTCTCACCGCTAGATGGCGCTGCACCTGTCATCTGTCAAACGTCATGTGTCATTGACCTCACCGCAAGATGGCGCCACACCTGTCATCTGTCATACATCATATGCCACACATGTGACGTATGTCACATGACGACGCACACGTGAAATAAATGACGTATGTCACACACGTGACATACGAAGTCTGTAAGTTAATTATAGGTTAGGAATATGAGAGGAAATATTTCAATTAATTGGGTTGGGTAACTTTGCGCTTTTGAATCGAGGAAACAAGGCCGTCTTGCAACTGCAAGTGAGTGGACGCAATTGTCTTGCAAACACGATAATGCCGTCTTGCAACAGCAAGACCTTACATGCGATAGACTAAATTGAAGCTATTATTTTTTTGTTTCTGTTAAAATATCGATCACTACGTCAACTTTTTCAGTTGATTTATGGATTCATCGCCTCGCTGCACCGAACATTTCTCGCACGAAGAATATTTTCGGCAATTCCAAGGGTTGGGGATCAGAATAAACCTCAGCGGACCGGCGTTTACCGTAGATCAAAGGCATCTACGCTGCGGTCGATGATGTGTAAACTTTTCCGCAGCATAAACTTTTTTGTAACCGTCCGCGTGGAAGACCGGGCTGCTGTGGGGTCGACATTTTCTCATTATCGATGAAGGCACGATAACTTTAAAAACTTACGTGCAAAAAGTCTTAACGAGTTGGATTAATTAATATGCTGAGAGCATTCTATTGTGATCCGCAGATTAGCCCCTTTTTATTCAGCATAATAAGAGTTTTATGGCAATTGGGGACTCCGGTTTCAACAAAAACGGTATTTGGTAATCGACTTTTTGCTGGATTTATCCCGCGATTATAATTTGTCTCCTTCCGTCGCGAACAGAAAGGAAAGTGAAAAGGTTTCTGCCTCCTTGGGTAACGAGCAATATCACGAAATACAGACGTCTTTGTCACTCAAGACCTGTCTTTCTGGTAGACGGATTTTAGTACCAACTATGTGCCTCTTTTAATTATGATATATTCAATTCCCCAAATATACTAGCCCAACTTCAGAATCATGTCCAACAAATGCTACAGGCATCATCAAGTGTAAGGCTGTCTGTATCGCAATATATGAGATATTGTCAACAGAACTATGCAATTTCTGAAAATCTAGTTTCTATGTTTGTCATGGAGACATTTTTATTCTCTTATTAGTTACCCGATTTCATTGTAAAGGCTTTCTAAGGTAACAAATCAACCAAGCTATAATAATAAATTCCTTTTTTACTGCTCTACCGGGTCTCGGATGCGCTATCTGTATTTTCCTGTACTGGAAATAAGTACTATGTTTGTTTCAATTATATGAAATTGAAACACTTGATAGAAGTACATAGTGTTCATTTTTTAATAAAGCGACAACAATTTCATTTGCACATAAATCTTACTCATTACTATGTCAAAAATCAGAATCTGGAAAGTGTCAGTCTTCTAGGTGGGATAATTACCCCATCACTCATTGATCTCATTAAAATGATTTGAGTGCTGCCTGATACCGCCTCGGGGGTATCTGAACGGGTCATCGCCCGTTTCATGATGGCCCGTTGTCGCTGTGACAGATTAGGGATGAGATGAGAAATAGCGTTGTGCCACGTTTTTGTCTTCTCGTCTACCCATGTCTCGTGTTGTATATAGAATAAGTAATGTCTAACCAACAGCACACGGTCGCAACGCTCCGTCCATTAGAATAATCTCCCAGGATAATCCTGAAGAGTGATCGATACCAGTGTAATTCACTATACTATCGATCCACAACGTCTCAAAATAAGAAGAAACAGTGGCGTGTCTTTGAGCAAAAGGAATTCGTAAAACTCATCCGTTTTATTTTCGAAAATGTAGTTTCTTGAAAGTTGAAAGTATTCCTTGTAACCCTGTATAATTTTCAACTTATTGCGATTGTTTAATTTCAAATCATCTAAAGACTATTCGTGAGGTTTCTCTAAGTGCCTATTGAGCAGAAGGTATACTACTTCGCTTATTGCTCAAAATCCCAATCCTAGTCACAGTTTAGTTTCAAATTAAGACGCTATCTGTGTCGTAGTATAAGAGACAATGCGGAAATGTAAACATTCTAAAAATTTAAGATTCTACGATTTTGATGCTCTTTCGGTTGAATGCGCTTCAACAGAAAACCTCAGCTCTTCTATAAAATGTCGTACCGCTTTAAGCTGGCAACTTCCACATCATTGCATACTGAATATATGCTGGTGACACATCGCCCATCTATTTACCGACAACAACGGCGTGATAGCACAACAATGTACGTCTTCACACTTGCAGCAAAGAACATCCGGTATCCGGCAGCCACGGCAAGTTTCCATATAATTTATGGATACGTGGAAATCCCCTTGAAGCCTCCCGTTTACTGCTACTTAACCCTTTCGACGGCTCTGCTGAAGCTTATTTACCTATCCTATAGGTTTTGCGACGCTTCGCCGTGCCCGCAGCACCGCGAGACGCCCTATCGGCGGAACTTAGATTGATGGAGGGATCAGAGCCAGCTTTCGAAGGAATAACGCACGGTAAGGAGCTGCCAGTGTTGTACCAAAGGATTTCTCCTGTTATCCCCTCCCTCCCTTTTTTCTTCTATCCCTCTTCGTATGACTGGGGCAGGTATCTTCAAAACTTGATCTGAACTCACCTACAAGGCCTTAATCAAGAGCAAAAAGTATACGAACCGCTCTGATCGGTTAGGAGTCTACTTAATCCTTGTAACATCTAGGTTGATCTAGACTTTGTGATAGCTCCACCGTCCCTCATTCACCTATCCTATAGGTTTGATGCCCCTTATTGACTTACCCTATATGCCTTGCTGCCGCTTATTTACGTATCCTATAGGTTTTTACGCATCTGTTGATGCCTATTTACGTATCCTATGGGTTTTGCTATGCTTCGCTGTACTCGCAACACTGCGAGATGCCCTACATTGATGGAGAGATCAGAGCCAGCCTTGGAAGGGATAAAGCTCGGAAAAGTATTTCTGCTTTTCACTTTATCTCCCTTGCTTTCTTTCTTCTTCCCCTCTTCGTCTGTGTTCAGTAGAGGTATATAGGAAACTAGATCTGACACACCTGATCGGTTAGGAGTCTACTTAGCCCTTGTATTATGTAGGTTAATCCTTATATACTAATCCTATAGATTTCATTATAGCTCCGCCATCCTTCATTTACCTATCCTATAGGTTTTATGCCCCTTATTCACCTACCCTATAGGCACTGCCGTTGCTTATTAATCTATCCTATAGGTTTTTTACGGGTCTTTTGAAGCCTATTTACATATCCTATAGGTTTCGTTGTACTCGCAACACCCAGAGACGCCCTATCGTCGGAACTTAGACTGATAAAGGGATCAGAGCAGCTTTGGAAAGGATAGCGCGCAGTATGGAGTCGCCAGTTGCTTATCAAAGGATGTCTTCTTTTTTACTCTTCCTTTCCTTTCTTTCTTCGTCTGACTAGAGTAGGTATCTAGGAAATTAGATCAGACACACCTGCCAGGCCTTAATCAAGAGCGAAAGGTCTACGAATCGCTTTGATGGGCTAGGAGTTTATTTAACCCTTTCGACGTCTCGGTTGATCCCTATCCACCAATCCTACAGATTTTGTGATAGCTTCTCCGTCCCTCATTTACGAATCCTATAGGTTTTATGTCCCTGATTCACCTACCCTATAGGCCGTGCTGCCATTTATTTACCTATCCTATAGGTTTTTACGGTTCTGTTGAAGCCTATTTATATATCCTATATAGTTTGAGACGCTTCGTCGTGCCCGCAGGTAAAGATGACGCACTATCGGCGGAACTTAAATTGATGGGGTATCAGAGCCAGCTTTGGAAGGAATAACGCGCGGTAGGGAGCTGCCAGTGGTGTACCAAAGGACTTCGCCTTTTTATCCCTCCCTTTCTTTTCTAATCCTATAGATTTTGTGATAGCTTCAGCGTCCCTCATTAACCTATCCTATAGGCTTTATGCACCTACCCTAGAGGCTCTGGTGCAAGTTATTTCCCTATCCTATACATTATATGACGATTCTGATGAAGCTTATTTACCTATCCTATAGGTTTCGCGACGCTTCGTCGTGCTCACAGCACCGTGAGTCGTCCTATTGGCGGAACCTGGATTGACGGGGAGCCAGAGCCAGCTTTGGAAGGAATAACGCGCGGCAAGGAGCTGCCAGTGGTGTACCAAATGATTTCTCCTTTTCACTTCTGTCCATTTATTTCTTCCTCATCTAGTAAGTATCTAGGAAATTATATCTGACACACCTGCACGACCTAAATCAAGGGCAACAGGTCTACGAATCTCTTTGATCGGTTAGGAGTTTACTTGACCCTTTCGACGTCTCGGTTGATCGTTATATATTAATCCTATAGATATTGTGATAGCTCCACCGCCCTTCATTTACCTATCCTATAGGTTTTAGACGACCCCGCTGCCTCTTATTCTCCCACCCATAGGTTTTTGTGATGGCATTGCTGCGGATCATTTACATATCCTGTAAGTTTTTTGACGGTTCAGCTGAAGGTTATTTATCTATCCTATAAGTTCTGCGGCGCTTTGCTATGTCTGCAGCACCTCTAGCCGCCTTACCGGCGAAACTTGGATTATTGGGGGAATCAGAGCCAGATTTGGAAAGGATAACGCGCGTCAAAGGATTTCTCTTTTTTACTCTTCCCCTTCCTTTCTACTAAAATAGGTATCTAGGAAATTAGATCTGACACACCTGCAAGGTCTTAATAAAGAGCAAAAAGTCTACGAATCGCTTTGATCGGTTAGGAGCTTACATGACCCTTTCGACGTCTCGGTTGATCATTATGTACTGATCCTATAGATTTTATGATAGCTCCACCGTCCCTCATTTACCTATCGTATAGGTTTTATGATGACCCCGCCTTCCCTTATCCATCCACCCTACAGGTTTTGTGATGGCTCTGCTGCCGCTTATTTACCTATCCTGTAGGTTTTTCGACGGCTCTGTTGAAGCTTATTTACCTATCCTATAGGTTCTGCGACGCGCGGTATGGAGGCGCCAGTGGTGTATCACAGGATTCCTGCTTTTTACTTCTTCGTTTCGGAGACGGACCTGCAAGACCTTAATCAAGAGCAAAGAGTCTACTAACCGCTCTGTTCGGTTAGGAGCTCACTTGACCCTTTCGACGCTTCAGTTGACACTCATATACCAAATCCTATAGGTTTTGGTGATAGCTCTGTCATGCCATATTTATCTAACCTATAGGTGTTATGTGGCTCTCATACCGCTCATGTACATTTTATAGGTTTTGTGATGCCTCCGCTGCCCTGCGACATGGAGCTTTCATATTGTTTGGAGTCATAGGTTCAACAGTTTAAGGTTTGGTCTCTACAAAAAGGACAAAGAGTAATATAGTTGTCAGGCTTTGCCTCTCTCCGAGTGTTCCACTTTACGCTCTTACACAATCAGTATTTAGTGTGGTCTGTATCATCAGTATTTACTGCTCATTCTGTCAGCGTCAGTGGATGTTTACGCAACCATATAGTCCATGGTTCCCACTGACGGATCATAATAAATAATCATTGTTTGATATCAGTCTAACGTACACATTCGCACGTATAGTCAACGCCAAACAAAGTGGCATGCACGTCATCAAGGTGGGTGTGTTGAAAAATTTACATTGTTGCCAAACTTTTTGTAAAATAATAAAATTTATTATTTACATATCTAGGTTTATAAGCAATATTAACCTCAAATGAGAACAAAAATAATAGTATAATAAAATTATAGATCTGTACTTGCATAATCATTAAGTATGACAATTATTGATCAGATGACACTATGAAACTACCATATTTAATTGATAGCTTAAAGGTACTGAATAAAAATCCAAATGGGGTCCTCCAAATTTTATGCATGGTATTTATTTTACAGAATTCATACAGAAAAATGCATTCTAAAATTAGGTAAGCTACTGGTGTAAGCTTTTTCTGTACAATAAAGTTAGTCGGAGTTTCTTTCTTCAGCGCTGTCTGAATCTGAATCTTCATCACTCTCAAAGTTGATTATTAAAGGTTCGATGTCTGGTCGATCAAAAATTCGTTCTCTTTCATACCATTTAAAAATTTCTTGCTCAGTATGTCGAACACTATTTTTCCACATGTCTGGGGTAACCGTTTGTAGAGCCTCGTTCCACATATCCAAACAGTCTTTTTCACTGTTACCATCTCTACCAATATGTCTGTTATAGTAACCTTTTGCTATGCCCCAAATTAACTCAATAGGGTTAAATATACAATGGTAAGGAGACAGACGAAGAACTTTGTGCCCATGTTGTTCCGCCAATTCATCAATCACGTATATTTTAGGTGGTTTGTTTCTAAAAAAGCAGTTATTTTAAGAATAGGAATAAACAAAAGAAATATAAACTGTCGACCAAAATATATATAATTAAGAAGCATTATGTACCGAGCAACAATACTCAATAGCTCTGTTTTAAACATTGTGTTTAAAAATGGTATGTTTTGATTTGTCAACCAGTCTTGGATATTTTTTTTTGTCCATGCATTGTTGGGCACTTTGTTCAATATCATGCTGTGATAAGGGGCGTTATCCAGTATAATCATAGATGGACTCTCCAATTTTTCTAATAACTGATGTTGAAACTATTTCAAAAAATTGTCCTGGTTCATCCCTCCATGGTAATCGCTCAATTTTGTTTTCGAAGAAAATATCGCTTCACTACCCTCAATAAACCCATTTTCATTTCCAGCATGTAATATAATGTATCTAAAATATATTAGTTTTAAATTTTATAGTTCAAATTGTGTAAAAGTACATACCTTTTACCATCTGTTTTAATAGCTTTCACGCTTTTTTGGTTTCCATTTTGCCAAGAGCGACCTATGGTCCCATTTTGAAATATCCAAGTTTTATCGAGGAAGACAAACTGGTATAAGGCCTCAACCTTGGCTTGATTGTATTGCCTTAGAAATTCCACCCTTTTCAAAGCTATACTTGGTAGTTCCATGAGCCCTCGTCGCGGATTGTCCTTAAGCCACTTAAATCCAAGATCTCTAAGCAACCGCCTTAAAGACGTGGCACTACCATCAAATAATGCCCTATCTCTTAATCGAGACCATAAAGTTTGTATCGTAACTTGTTCTTGTGAAACCATGTGTAATATGACATTATAATTTAGTTAACAAATTAATGCAAATTTCTGATAAGTTATTATAATAAGATCTTACTTTTGTGATACATATTATAGATCACTTCTCGAATGGCACTTGTATCCAATGTCGCTGTGTTGGTTACACGTTTAATATAACTCCGCTTTTTCTTGGGCGATTCTAAATTTGCATCACTTTTCACACCCTCGGAAATACGACTAACTGTACTTAAACTAATTTTTAAAGCAGCAGCAACACGCTACAAAAAATGAAATAAAATTCCACTATTATTAATATACATTACATATAATTATTAGTAACCTACCTCTTGAACAGCATTTAAAGGCAACAAAGGCCCGTTGTTGTCCCTTTCTTGCTCAAAGTAGTGCATTAACGAGGCCACGAGCTCCTTACACCGACTATTTAACTGTTTGGGCATCTTTATATACCAAAATTGCCTTTATCTACTCGTAAAATGAATAATTTTGTTTTGAAACAAACAGTTGTTGATTTACAGTATGCGGGTCCAAAGGATTTATAAAGATTTGAAATGCCACAAATTGATTCAGTGTCAAAATTAATACAAATGTCATTTCCCAGTTTAAATAAGTTTCAAGGTGACAATGTGTCAACGCTGCGAAATCGGTTTAGTGCGTTTACATGTCGATAAGTGATTGGAGCGTTTGCAAAACATTTTATTTCGCATAATGCGTCTAAATTTATCAGAAAGCAACTTATGTGATATTTTAATAACAATGCTTATATGACTATTAACCATAATAAGAGAGTAATGACCATTTTACAATTTATATATCACATTAATATGAAACTGCAATAGAGCAATTGTTTGTGATAGAAACCTAGGCATTAGGTCGGGGAATTTTTATCGTGATGACGTGCACGCCACTTTGTTTGGCGTTGACTATAGGTAGCTATTGGCGGATTCGGCTTGCTAGGCCTACCTTACAATGAAGGTAAAGTCGTTGCATAAATATGTACAAACTCATCCAGTTTAATTGCCTAAAAAATGCAACGAGTGAGGCCCGAGTGCAGAAACATCGCACAAAATGAGAAATACATAATTCAGATCTACTGTCCGACGCTCCTCACATAAAGAAGATGGCTACCAAACGCTTGAAAACTGTAAGTAAACGTAAGTTTTTACATCACAATTGTAGAGTTCCAGAGCCGTATTGCTCCTAACCAGTCAATTGTGCACGTTTATATTATTTACAAAGTTAGATTATCAGTACCGAAGTCTCAGGACATGTATGACCACAATTTTCCATGTTTTCTGGCCGGTGAATGAAACCACATATGAGTCTTGAGTTTTTACTAACGTTTCGGGCACCTCGAGGGAATTTTTCAAATTACAGACCAAAAAGTGATTGTGTTATAATGTAACACCTGAACGATTCAGCCATCACGATGACCTTTTTTAAGTACAATGATAATATATTTTATATTTATCTACACTAAAGCGAT